AACTATCTGTATATCCATTTCAATTATCTACCTGTTACAAGTACCTATCTATCCATTACAAGTAACTATCTGTATATCCATTTCAATTATCTACCTGTTACAAGTACCTATCAATCCATTACAAGTGTCTATCTATCCATTACAAGTAACTATCCATCCATTGCAAGTATCTGTACATCCATTACAAGTATCTGTATATCCATTACAAGTATCTGTATATCCATTACAAGTAACTATCAGTACGATACAACTATCTGTATATCCATTTCAATTATTTACCTGTTACAAGTACCTATCTATCCATTACAAGTGTCTATCTATCTGTTACAAGTATCTGTATATTCATTACAAGTGTCTATCTATCCATTACAAGTACCTATCCATCCATTTAAAGCATCTATCTATCTGTTGCAAGTACCTATCTATCCATTACAAGTACCTATCTATCCATTACAAGTATCTGTACATCCATTACAAGTATCTGTATATCCATTACAAGTAACTATCAGTACGATACAACTATCTGTATATCCATTTCAATTATCTACCTGTTACAAGTACCTATCTATCCATTACAAGTGTCTATCTATCTGTTACAAGTACCTATGAATCCATTACAAGTGTCTATCTATCTGTTACAAGTACCTATCCACCCATTAAAAGCATCTATCTCTCTGTTGGAAGTACCTATCCATCCATTAAAAGCATCTATCTGTTGGAAGTACCTATCTATCTGTTACAAGTACCTATCCACCCATTACAAGTGTCTTTCTATCTGTTACAAGTACCTATCTATCCATTACAAGTATCTATCTACCTGTTACACGTACCTATGAATCCATTACAAGTGTCTATCTACCTGTTACAAGTACCTATGAATCCATTACAAGTGTCTATCTACCTGTTACAAGTACCTATCTATCCATTACAAGTGTCTATCTACCTGTTACAAGTACCTATCTATCCATTACAAGTGTCTATCTATCTGTTACAAGTACCTATCTATCCATTACAAGTGTCTATCTATCTGTTACAAGTACCTATCTATCCATTACAAGTGTCTATCTATCTGTTACAAGTACCTATCTATCCATTACAAGTGTCTATCTATCTGTTACAAGTACCTATCTATCCATTACAAGTGTC